GAACGATGACCAGAAGTTTCCTAGAACATGGGCAGGCTGTTGTGGGGACCACGCCACGTGGCGTATGACTATCGTCGATGCTCCAACAGTGGGAAAAGTCAACCACATAGCATCAAAATAGACGCCCCTATAGAGAATAGACACCCCTATAGAGTAGTATCGACAATTGTTCAGTGCTGTTGTTGTTGTTGTTTGCACATATCTGGGGACAGCAGAGTCATAACAAAAAAAAACACCACCCACCACAAAGAAATCTTATCTCTCGCTCCTATCAAGCTTTCATCGTTACGAAAAAAAAAAAAAAAAAAAAAAAAAAAAAAAAAAAAAAAAAAAAAAAAAAAAAGCTTTTATCATTAGAAACATCTATTTCCATGGGGGAAGTGGAAGTGAACATGATCTATGAAACAGTCCAGGCACCTTGTCCCACTAGCTCCGTTGAGCTAGGTCAACGAGGGGTTTTCGAGCCTGTGTGACTGTATGCGACAAGGGAGATGCACGTCGTCCAATTCATCTAACGGTCCGTTTTTAATAAAAAGGGCAATAGAGACCATCTTCGCTTTTTCTTACAACAAAAAACAGAAATAAATCCTTTCTCTCGAATACCACCACCCCTACCCTCGCCACTTTCCGTTGAACTAGCTGTCTCCTTTTTTCGAGACAGCTACAGTCTTCCCCCGAATACAGCGTACGGTCATTATTGCTGAATTTAGACTGCAAGATAGACCAAATTCGGCTATAATGACCGGGGGAAGACTGTAGTTCAACGACGCTCTTGTTCCCCCAACAGGCGTTTTTCAAGAGAAACTGTACGAGCCTCCTTCCGTTTGCCATTTTTGGACGGGGTTCGGGCACCTCTTCATTTTCTGCTGTGGAAGTGCCCGTATGCCACTCCAATTGTGAAAAATGGAAAACGAGAACAATTGTATTCCTGCCATTTATAAATGCATTTCTCATTTGAAATTGAATTAAAATGAATTTTTTTAGCTGTCGCACCGTTGAGCTGCGTCAACTAAACGGTGCAAGTGGGACAAGGTCCCACAGCCTGAATTTCTGAGTTTTTTTTTTTTTTAAGCCCTTGTGCCACCCCTCTATCCCAGTGGTGGTACGATAACCACCAGAATTGAAGGGCCCGGCTTGTCTGCCGGCCTGCTTCATCTATTGGTGGGGACCTCATTTTCATTTTGAGTTACGACCATCGACGTTGACGTTCACGGATGGATGGATGTGCCCCGGCCATGTGACTACATACATCTTCTCCCATCCGTATCTGCATGATGTGCTTTTGATTACAAGAACTCAATCTGGCCACTCATTCTGCGATTTTGCGATTTTGCGATCACCTGCTTTTTATTCTGTTTGTGATATGTTAGAGCACCTGTTTCATAAATTGAGAGTGTACTACCGTCTTCCCCCAAACACAACGCACCCCCATTTTGCCTGTATCGGGACGGCAACATACCTTGTATACGTTCATTTTCAGGGTGCGTTATGTTCGGGGGAAGACGGTTGTAGTACTCGCACTAGGCCCTCAAAATCAGAAAATCGCAAAATGAGCGGCCAGATCGAGTCCTTTGTTTACAAGAACTTGATCTGGCCACTCATTCTGCAATTTTGCGATTTTGCAATTTTGAGGGCCTACCTTCTTCCCCCAAATACAACGGATGGTCATTATAGCTGTATCTAGACTGAAAGATGCCTCAAATACAGCTATAATGACCGTACATTGTATTCGGGGGAAGAAGATAGTGTGAGTATGCCCTGACTGAGACAGAATGCCATGATGCATATGGAGATACAATGCCATGCTCACTTCATCCTGAGGCTCCTGGTTGGGGCATGCAAAGGCCATAATTATTAATTATTATGATCTTCATTTACAGCAAGGGAAAATTTTCGAAATGCCCCTGAAGTTTGCATTTATTTGCGGCGTGCCCCTCTGACGCCCGACTTACCTTGCAGCGCCCCTCTGACGACAAATGATGTTTTCAGAAAATCCCTGGCGTCGTTTGGGCCTGAAAAATGTTTCATATGCCCTTACCGGTACCAGTACCAAATTTTCAGTATGCCCCTACCGGATGGCCGTTGAGAACCAGCACAAAAGTTTCCCATATGCCCTTACTGGCACCGTCCATCTTTCCAGTGAGCCCCTGTGGCC